GCTTGTGCTGTCCAGGTGAGGAGAGTGCCTTTCTCTAGGCCCTCCTGAGCTTTCCAAAGCCTGAAATGGTCTAAAGATAATTTAAGAGGGATTACCTTTGTAATAAGACCTATTTGAAGAATTTATTCTCTTACACTTCATCCTCTGTTGATTCATGATATTCCACAGGACTCCCATCAACTATTTACTTGTGAACCTGGCTGTAGCGGATGCCTTGTTTGCGACCTTTGTTACACCACAGACTTTCTTCAAGATCACTCCCACCCACCCAGAAGGGATAGCTGGAACAGTTTTATGTAAAATAATAACAGGTGGAAACCTCGCATGGATTGCTGGAACCTCCTCGGTTGTTACTTTGGCTGCAATTGCCGCTGAACGATATTATACAGTAATCTATCCCGCTGGTAACGTGAGCAAACTTACCAAGCGCAAACTGAAGGTGCGTCACTGACAAAGTTTAATTATTAGTATTGGTAAGTACCAAACCAGTTGGTAGTGTCTATCTCATTCTGATTGGCTGCTCAAACTCGGAATAGGCAGGCATTTATGAAAAAGGTCTATAAGAAAAATGCTTTCTTTCTTTTCTACCGTAACTGAAGAAGACATTTTCACAGCCTATGAAGCAGCTGGAGCATTTCTTTCAATAAGAAAAGTTTAAACTAGTGGATGGTATTTTTCACGCGTTCTGATTGGCTACAAAAACTCGGAATAGTTATACTATCCGCCTCCCAAGCCCGTAAAAAAAAAAAAAAAATGGTTTCCTTGTTTTCTACCGTATGGGGCCCCTCATCTTTAAGGAAACGAGAAATCACTAAACAAATTCAATCTTTGGCGTGTTTAGGTGCCCTTAAATTCGGATCACTCTTTGATAGCTGTGTATCAGTTTCATCTTACGTCATAACATATTTTGAGGTGGTCTAATCAGTATACCAAATACTTGACAATTTAAGGAAAAATATATTTCCGGTTTTTCGGATAGATCTCATTGAGCCTTTTGTATAAAAATTTTAGGGGAAAATATTGATTCTAAACAAAGCTATGAATAAAAAACGAGTTTCTATTGATAACCTTTAATTGATACCTGTCATCAAGCTATTACTCAGTTGTCGCATAAATCATGAGTGTAACAAAATGTCAAAATGTCATATTGTGACGTCATATTTGATGACGTCACAAAAACGTGTTAGACAAATTTTCTAATTTCAAACCACCAAATACACCATTTGAAAGAACATGACTATCATACTGAAAATCGTTCCTCGCTATAACAAATATTTCTCGAGTTATAGCAATTTAGTGCTGCTAAAAATCGTATCATTTTAGATTTTTCGGTCTTGGCCTCTTAAACAAGTTTTTTTGTTTAAATAATTGATGACGTCACTTTTAATGGCCTCACAAATACGTTTTGAGGTGCTTAGAAGCAACCTCGTTCCCAGGCTCTCTCTTCTCTGCTTCCCTTGGTCGTTGGAAGAAAGACCCTGGTTGCAGCTGGTCATGTGACCACCTGTGACAAACTTTTCCACGGGGGTAAAGTCAACGAAGAATTTTTGTCAGTCTCAACTGGAGAGAAACAAAGGTGATCGCTGGTGATCACTATGTTAAATCACACACGGGCAAATACACCTTTGAAATTCTCCAGTCTTATTCTAAGCTTCACACAGGTGAAACGAAATATATTTGCATTTATCCAGCGTATTGAAGCATCACTCTGATTTCAATTCCTGCCGGTCGAATTACTAAGAGGTAAAACGGTTTCGCTGTTTCATGTTGCCTGAATTAACCTCACGCATTATATAAAGCGGTGTTTTATTTACCATTTTGCAAAATATAATTCTTGACTATGCCAAGGAACCGTGTTTAAACATCTGTCTAAATGTAAACTTACATAAAACTGATGCAAATGAAAGTGTAGGTTTATGTTAAGAAAACTGTACTGAATCATTTTACATTGCTGTAAATCAAAAGCCAGAATACTCGACTAGTCGGCCGTGTGACAAATACTTTTTAACATACGAAATACCGCACAAAGAAGAAAATGAATTACCTCCAAATTCAAAGATTCAAGAGACTGATCCATTGGTTTCACCTCGATTCGGTATGTAACATTTTAAAAAATCAAGGTTATGGCATGACGTCATTAGCTGTGACGTTATAATTTGATATTTGCTGTCAATCTAGATACAAAAAATATGGACATCTGTCCTCTATTCCCTTTCGAAGTTTCGCGACGAGATATTTACTACATTTGAACTTATGCTGAGGTAACCAAAACTGGCGACATCTCAATAACCGTTTTTTGGGCCGTTTAAGCCCAGCTTATTCCTTGAAATGCATCCCTAAAAGATTCTTTTATGTAGGCCTTAACAGATTGTGCTAGTAAAAGTATTAGGCTGGTAGCGCTGCTCTTTTTCTGGCCAAATTATGCTAAAATTACGCTCGTTTTTCCAAATTATGCCACTCTTTTTTTAGTTATGCTCTTTGAAAAAATTGCAAATAAGTCCAGTTTTCTTTCGGATCTGGCAAAACTGGCATGGCCGACGCCATTTTGCAGCCTTGTCTAATGAGAGGTACTGGGACCGACATGGTTTACAATATGACTTCCAGTTCCGGTGCGTCCCAGACCCCAGTCCCCAGGATCAGTGAGCTTTAATTGCTACTAATTGTACTAAAACATTAAATATGGAATAACATCAGCCAGTGCTTGGGACTTGAAATCAAAAATGATCAAAATATAGGATCAAAAACGATTCAATAATTATCAAACTATGCGAATTATGCTAGCATTGCTGAGTTTTTGAGAATGGGAAAATTACATGTATACCAGTTTGTTCAAATTGTGCTAAAAACTACGCTAGCACAATCTATAAAGGCCTACTTTGATGCGTTAAGGGCCCATTAACCGATCTTTTCGAGCCGTTGCTAAGGAAAATTTATTCTCATATAACTTCATCATTTTTAGTTAGTTCAGAGTCATTTCAT